CTCTCAAGTAACCCCTATACTTCACGTTGATCTGGAACACATTGGCACCACGGAGACCATGAATATTTCAGTATCTTGTTCAATTTAAGAACCGTGTGAATGACGACGGCTGATGTCGACCCAGCGCGCGGTTAGGATTTCGCCGACCGTGAACTCGCCCTCAACACCCGGGCGTCACCTCGCTGATGGTATAGCACTGTCTTTCTCGCTTTCTCCGTTGACCTCCCGGCTTTGACGCCACATTCCTGAGGCTTGTTGATTCGGCGAAAGAATGCCCGAATTGGCGGGGAATATTGGTCGCTGCCGACCAGGTGTCCAACGAATGACCATTTGTCAAAACATTAATTACTCCGTTGTCCTTCTCTGTTCTTTTTTCCACGCTGAATGACGCTCTGAAACTGCTGCTATGGTGAAAGTAATATGGGACACCGAGTGATGACCCATGAAATGACCTTGCTCTGCGGATGAAACTTGATCAAGGTCGTGCTAGACTTTGCATTGTCAAAACTCTCTTGCTGGTACCAGTAAGCCCTCGCTCTGTGTTGGTTCCGAGCGTTGCTGTAATGGATTGCTCTTTAACGTCTACTGGCATGTCTCACCAACCCTGCTGTTTTCGAGCGCTTGAAACTGCAGCCACTAATCTCTTGGCAGGGCCCTCCCAGTGCTCCCAAGCCATGAGCCCTCTCACGGGCTGTCATCTGCCTGCCTTCCACTGCGGTTTACTAATGTTGTCGGTTCGGCGTTGTTTTTCCATCCCGATTGAAGTTCAATGCCGGTTGAATTCATCCAATTGGCCTTGTCAGTTCAATATTTTACATTCCACCTTGACATTGCTCCACAGCTAGCTTGGCAGTGAGGAGTATGTTTGTTCCAAAGAAATGCTTCCGATCACATTATCCAAGGCAGACGGGTAGAAGATTAAAGACTGCATGTAAAAAGATTTTGTCGGGTGTTGGGGCATTTAAAGAGTACCTTTGAATTATTTCATTTGTTGATTTAACGATTGAGTATAAAAGTCCCGAAGAGATATTCCTTTTTCCCTCTTTAAGTCACTAGATGTAATGCTAAATGGGATTTCCGGAAATAGTTGTTTCAAAGCAGTCCATAACAAGTTGGTGGGAACAGAAAAGAAATTTAAAACGTGTTTATCTCGTAGAATAATTAATGGAACTGACTACCAGAGGATAAGTACACTTGGTCTGATTCTAATCAAAAGATTAGTTAGGAATGACCGGGCTGACCACGCACATCCAAAAACTGGACATCAGCGCCATACAAATACACCACAATTAGATCTGGCCAACAGTTTGTTACTAAAGTTAGGCAAACAGGGCTCAACTGGCCACAGGGATCTGTCAACAGAGCGCAGATGACAATCATGACGGCAGATCACCGGTCGTGGATAGATTTGACTGACCTTAATCTTGATGGCCAGTAACTTCTGGTCGTAGGCACTCGGAATTCTCGCGGTATTACAGACAACGTCATTGCCGTGTGCGAAATGAAGTCACGGCCCACCACCAGCGCGTCACTGAGCGACGTAGCATACGGGACGCAAGCCAAGCGCGCCTTTTCCGGAATAGAGCAGTCTGTTTTCGCAATTTTCATATCACTGGAGCTGAGCGAGATGTCTCGGTTTGAGGTATCATCGCTTGAGCCTTTGTTCATTTATGTGAAAGATATTGCCGCTGTGCACAAAATGTTTCATAGCAGGAATGGCGGGTCGTTCAGCCATGTCCGAACTACTGTGCTACGGCTAGAGCTAATATGTGAGTCTATGGAAAATAGAGGAAGCCGCAGGCAGCGGCTTCTATTGTTGTGTGTGTGTAATTGCCAGCCGCAGCTGTAATTCAGACGCTGCCTTTCTGTTAACCATAGGAACCGAAGACCCTTTTTGCCTCGTTGGTCTCACAGGTAGATGGACCCCTGTTTTAACTTAAATGAGAATGAGGCACAAAGGTCTTTTATGCACAGGCCTGGTACAGTGTTTTCAAAATGCTTATGGGATGTGGTTATAGGCCGACAGTGAAGTTGAGGTCCAAGTTGCCTCCATGAGCGTCACGGAGGAGGGATGTTGAAAAGAATTAAAAGAATGTAAAAAGGAAAACAAGATAGGAGGAAGAGAGTGCCTGTACAAAGCCTCTAAATACTTCCGAAAGAAATCCTGATTACGTCTTTGGTTGCCTTATCTCGTTACAAAATATGACATCGAATTTTCACTCTAGTCACACGCTTTGCCAACCGGTGTATCGACTTGGTAATCTGAACCTTGCCGTCAAAATGCCCGTAATTGTCGTCCCGTGGTTTCTTTGCCCGGTGGGGCTCGGACTGACGACTCGCGGAAGCATCCCGCAAATTGGCCAGAGTGAATCCAGTCGCTTTTCCGCGACACCCACACAACGCCCCGAGGGCAGGATCGAAGCAGATTTGCTGGAATCCCGACACAGTCGATCGAGCGGCGCGATCACGTATATTGTACCGCCATTTGTGGACGGGTCGGGTCGAAGAGCATCCCATCAGTGGGATTTCGTCTCCACATCGATCCGTCCAAAAGTTCGCCCACGTCTTTCAGGTTTTCATCCCTGAAATGGGAACTCTGGTGATTGTCTCTCCGGGTTTTTTTTCTGATTAAAGGTTTAGAAGTATACACCGCGATACATTAAGCGTTAAGACCCACGTGCCGGTCGTTGCCCCGAGCTGTTTAGGCCGTGTTCGCAACCTGATAATTGAAACCTTTCATTTCGCAATATTCGTGAGGCTCTTGATCGCCCACCTCCTGCGGTATAGGAATTTGTTGAATGAGCCGTGGAGTAGGCCTACGTCTGTAACTCGCATTTTAATGTCCGCTTTTAACTGGTGTGTTGGAGAAGGGCGAGATTGAAATGCAGCTGTGGTTTCTATAGCAACTGGAGTCGACTCAATGATCGCTTGGAACGGTGAATTGTTTGGAATTGTACTTCGTTTATCGAATCAAACCAACTCCAGTGGGTACTGTACCGGACAGTTGTGTAACTTACAAACATCTTGGTGTCTTGAAATCACCTTTCGTAAGATTAACATTGTGTGTCGCTTTTCGGATGCATGTATACATTACAGATTCCTACACTTTGGTCCATCGTTCCATTTCTTCTAAAATCCTGCTTGCTCCTCAGCAGTCCTCGAGCCGCGTGCAGTTTCTAGTAAAATGACCGGAGACGCTCCGGGGCGGACGCATCAAGACGCAATTACACTGTCTTTTTCGAGCACCTGCTCGGCTTGTAAGCTCCCGTCGGCCACTAATTGGGTGCGAATATCCCACCGGCTCGATCTCACCGTGATTTTACCGGCGGGAGAGGGCCAGATTAAATTATACATTGAAGACACGGGGCACGCACCGGCAGGACGCGTGGTTAAAACGCGGCGGATTCAGTGTCTTACAGCTTGGCCTTTTGATTTCGTTTCAGTAACGAAAACAAAGGACATGTGGAAACACTTTGCTAGCCTGTCATGCTATTCAAAGAGTTCATTGATTTGTGTGTGCATTTGCTCTAACACATTTCAAGCGGTTTCTCAGTGGTTTAGCAGTTACCCTGAAGTGCCGCTTCAGTGCTCATATTCGTTCGGTATTGGAGTAATAATATTCGTAACAATGAACACCTTTGAGAGGAAGAGGTGCTATTTAAGACCTGTCTTTACGTACAAATCAAAGAGTGTTCTAAGAGTGAACTAAGGCGTTTTCCTTATCTCCATCCTCCTCTTGGCACAGGGAGAGATAAACATTTTATGGCGCAAAAGTAACTGAAATCTGAGCAGCGCACAGCGCGCAACGCATATTGATGCAACATTACGGTACCACTTATCATCTCGGTGTGGCGTAACGTTATACCGAGGCTATAGGGAGAATTCTTGTCGGTAGTAGTGGCCGGTGCGCGGGACAGCTTTCAGACCGTGTGCAAGCCGAGCCCAAGGGCCACCTTTAAAATCCCACCCACCCCCCTCCCGTCCGAGATGCACGACATCCTTCGCACGCACGCGGGTTCTGTGGGTTTAGTTGAAATTCGAGCTAAGAAGGCGCTCTGGAAGCAAGACACGCCAAGTTGGCTCCGCAGCAGTAAAGCGCGTCTATGTCTGCTCCGAGCGCTGTCAATTTCGATTGGGATAGCAAAAATCGTGATTCCCAGCACACTCGCCAGTGAGACTTGTTTGCAAGAGATGTGTGAGAGTCCGTTTACAGGAGTCGAGTAGAGACGGTTCTGTACAAGCAGACGGTGCCGGACGTCAACATGTTATGCTTGTTATTCGTCTGAAACAGGAAGTTTTGCACCAATTATGTACACTAACGCGAGAAGATTTAGCGAGCGTCCTATCACTCGTTCGTTTTCAATGGTCCCCCTTTTTTATTTCAAAACAAATTAAAGGTCTTCTCCTGAACACTCGCCTTTCTCGTGGAAAAAAGGCAAGATTAGCTGGCGCTGGGCTTTGCATTTTGATGTGATTCCAAGTCATTGGGTCAAGTTCAACACAGACATCGTGTGTTTCACATTGTTTGCAAACAGGGCACTTTCTATGACTGTGGGACCCCAACGCATGAACTTAAGTGAAAAGTGTATACTTCCCAAAATTACTGGTCTCTTGACCAATAGCTTACGCCGCTTTCAAGTGGTTTTATAACTCTATGTAATGCACGAACAATTTGTCTGCCCGATCCGTTATCTTTAATGTCGGTCAGGATTTCAGACGGACATTGCTTGGCGCATTTAATAGTTCAAATAGGTACAATGTGTTTTGTTTTTGCATACTTTCAAAGGAAACGCTCGTACACCAGTATGTGTACCAACATACCGCTTCCCTTGTCCATGTGGCTACGGCTATTCATGTGGCAAGCAACAAAACCAGATACCGTAGCTGCACAAACCTTATTCGCACGTGGCCTCTTAAAAGATGGTGACCCGCCAAAAAAATAAGGACCTTTGACCCATCTGTAGGTGATTCAAAGTTGCTTTTTTCTCCTGTCTTTTCAGGTGGACTCTTCGTAAAAGGCAGTAAGAGTGAGCAAGCATTCAATTTCGCTGTCCATCGGATCAACCGGCTGAAAGCCCCCGAAAACGACACAACATTGGTGTCGGTGAAGCGACACATCGCTGGAGGTAACAGCTTCGATGCCTACAAAAGAGGTAGGACTTCATGTGATGGCAATTTGCTTGTTCTGCTCGATGGCACTGCACTGATCTAATGGTACTCAGCCAAAATGATAGCCAGGATTCTCTCCCATAAACCGACGATTTGCCTGGTTAATTGTGTCTTTTTGTTATTCGGTTTCTGCTTCGTCTGGGAACGGCGTCGTTCATTTGTGAAATGTTCGACTCTCCGTGAAGTTACTGGCCCAAATTTTGTGCGGGAAGCGGGACTCAAAATTGATGTTCTTGTCAAATGGTCCTGATGACTATGTATATAGACCGTTGAGTCATAAATCTTGATGAACGCGCTAGACCCAAACTTATTCAGATATTGTTGCTTGATTCAGAAGAATTATTCCGCAAGATTTTCATCGTCCTTATTTCGTTTTTCAACGGATGGCGAGAAAATCTGTTCAGCCATTACCGTGTCCACCGCTGTCTGCACACTTGCACCGAACCTGTTTAAAGCTTGCGGAGTCACGCATCCTCTGTGCAGCGTCGTTGTTTATTTGACCGCCACGGCGTAGGGTAAGAATGATTTACACAAATCAGCGTTCTGATTTATGACGACGCGACCTGGGCGGCTCGTGCTTCATGTACACATCCACCAGCCACCCCCCCGACGCTGACAACCGGCTTATTGATTCGCTCTTCCTGGTCCCGTTTTAATGCGATATCCATGGCGGACTATAGGCATGCAGGATATTCTCTAGCGAAAGAAGCTACTAAAGCTTTCATGAGGACACATTGCACTCGATAGAACCGTGCGTTTTTATCGGCAGACTGTTTTTAGTTTGGAGATGATCAACTAAATAAAGCACTGTTGGTTAAAAATTGGATGTGGCCTACGACAACTGTTTATAATCCGCGTAAAGCCGGAACTGCATTGAGCCACACAAACAGACTTGGACAAATAGCTTCATGCAATCGCTTGATTTGTTTTAACTTAGCCCCAAAACTTCACGTTCGTATTCCCTCTCATCATTTTAAGTATCTTAAGGGTGTACACCCTTTGCACTGCATTCTACGCCGGGGGGTTGTATCCCGCCTGCCCATCATACCAAAATTGCCGAAAGGTTGATGTCTTGTATTTCTTCGAGTTTACAAAGCAATGCACTCAGGAAGCAGAAAATGCTCCCAGGAAACCAAAATAAGCACATGACTGCGTGCACTGGAGAACACAGTAGGATTTTCTAGAGCCCGCTTGGTATTGAGTAGAATTGATGTGGTTATCATTGTTGACGATGGGGTAGCATCTCCAACGGGTAGGACGACACAATGGGAGGTTAACGAGAACTTGAGGGACCATCTCCCCCTGACGACAGAGCAAAGCACGCGGCTTAGGAGTGTTCCATGGCAAGTACAGCCCAACATGCGCTGCCGACGCGAAAAGTTCAAGTGGTCCACCGGGATTAAACCGGACGGACGCCAGCTCCACTCATTTGTCGCGGCGGAGACCATATCGAGGGGAAAATAAAGACGTACCAGCAGCGCGGCAGCGACGCCATTTGTTGAGGGATGCGGTGTCCACGACCTACCCTATTTATTACAGGAGCCTGTAGATTTCCCCCTAGCAGCTGTTAATTAAAGACACAGTGAAACTATAAAGGAATAATAAGCATATTGCTTTAAAAAGATAAACGATAAGCTGGATCAAGCGAGGTGACCTAATGATGCATCATTCATCACACATCCCGTTTGTCTTGCCAGTTGTGCGCGCTGCATCCATATCTTCCCCGTGCACGCATTATCAGCCGCTTCCATCAAGTGAACCACGTTCCGCATAAGCTCCCGGGATCTTGTCCACCGTTGTGAAGAAAGTCCTTTGAGAAACGGAAGAAACCAGTAAGCCTGACTTTGCATAAATGTCACTGACAATGAAAAGGACCTCAATCCTTTATGTTCTACCCTCGTAAATCAGGTTTGCATTTCCTAACGAGGGTGTGCTCTTGTACGTGTATGTATTTTACTTTTATCATCGTGACTCCACCAAACGACATAGTCCGTCGAGCTCGCTCGGCTCTGGATCGGTGAATTCGATAACTTTGGGTCAGCCCCATTATAGCTAGAGCAATTACTGGGAAAGAATCTTTATATCAGTATTGAAAAAGAGGAACAGAAGCTCCAATAAATGCCGTTCTCGCATTTCCAGGGATGGATCAATTGAGCTGTGCCCTGTTTGGTTGCTACTTTTCAGCTTCCCTGGCACAAACACTAATCGAGTAAAAGCCCATTGAGGTGAATTTGCAATTTGTGGTTTTTTTGATGGAAGTGTATCATCTAGACCGCACTGATTGCATTGGTAACTGAAGTATGGGTCTCTTCACATTCGCAGTCACCTGATTGACGCGATCAAGTGCTCGACATTTTCGCTGCCACAGATTTATTGGCGAGGAATCAGTCCTGGGACAATATATTAAAAGTGACAGGCTAGTCAGATGACGCCGACTATCCATTGGCAAAAACAGATATCGGTTCCAGTTTTCTTCGACACCCTACAATGGGGTAGACGAGCTGGGGCCCTTGCCTGGCATTGCAATATGGGCATGCGTGGAACAGAACATGGCATAGCGTCACAAGTACCGAACGTCGACCACGATGAGACAAGACGCTGCAGTTATTTTGCGTGGGAGGCAACATCGTGTCCTCTCCGGCACCGAAAACGTTTTTCATACAGTGAATGTTACCACATGACCGCTGACGAGAAATAAGACTACTCGAAATGTTGACGATAATCCGTTTCTATGGACGATCAGGTCGCGCATTAAGGGTTGTCAACCCCCAGTCATGGATTGGAGAAGCAGAGAGGAGTGCATGATGGATCACATGAATTGCCATCATTACGCATTACTAAGCGGCATCACTGGGGCAGGGTAACGGGTAACATGACAGACAGGAAGCCTGGCATTCCTCGTCCCCCCCCCAAGCGGCCTCAACAAGACCGTGCAAATTTTCAGCAGCGTCATTTGTACTGAACGGGAGAGAAACATTGAATGTAGGTTATCAGAGCCTTTTTGGCTTGGGAACCAGTTCGAAAACGGAAAGAAGCGAGGTACAGCGCAAGCATAGGCCTACCTTCCTTTTTAATTTGTGGTCCTAATGCCGAATTGGAAAAAAATACAAGCTTTCATGCGCGAACCTTCCTTGTCAACGTATGAACTGTCCCTGACATATCTGGGTCGCAATCTTTTTCTGAGCCGAGTATAAAACATGTTTGCTCCGTTTCAATTTTCTGTTTCTGATGAATCCACGCGGCCACGCGCAGGGGCGTTATGTCGCAAAATGAAGAAGTTGCACAACACGGCTTTGCTTGATCAGATAACAAGCTCTTCCTCTGATATGAATCAGACCCTTCCAACTTCTGCTTTCTGAAGACAAATTAATGTTTGCATTGGCATGTTTTTCAATTCAACAGAAAGCGCCACCAGGGTAAAGACTTCTCAGAAAATTCATGAGTCTTGGGAAGAACGAGCTAAATATAATTGCCGTGTGGGATGCCCGTAGCGACAGATAGGACCTTGTTGTGATCATTCCTGGATGATTGATACCAATAGGTGTTATGAAAACTGCATCCCACTCATTGCATATACCTTGGAATTCTCCTCAATGACAAAAAAATGGACACTTTACGTTTTCCACGTTTATCCATGTTGACATTGTTGAATTTTCATTCTTGACATTAAAGTGAAACGTAGTTTGCTTTGATGCATTTGCTGGCTATACAAAATACGAAACACTCCTTTGGGTATTAATGTCCATATCGCAGCATGGTACGTCTTTTGATTGAGTAATTCCAATTTTCACATAGGCGGGTCTGCCCTCAAAGTATAGATGTTTGTTGTTTGTTTGTTTTTTTGCTCGACCCTTTCAAGATGGCCTGACCTATTCCGGCAAATCCACTTAAACGCGAAAACACCTGCAACCGTCTTCTTTCGAGACGTGGTCGGTATCTTGTCATAGACTGGGTAGTAAGCCCTCTCCCCTCTACCCACCATGTCCAAGAGATCAGCGGGTAAGCCCGGATTTGTCCCATCGGCGGTCCAGCCAAGCGCACGGTATGAAAGAAAGCGCGGTTATCAAGACACTCAAAGATTGAAACTCAAGCTGGCTCAAGCGATGTAGATGCCTCATATTCCTATGTTTATATATGCGACACAGAAACACAAGTCGTAGACATGCACAGGGCAATAAATAAAAACAATCTATGCTTTTTAGTGTAACATAGCACGTTCAACACTGCATTAAAGTGACATTGTTTTCTCCCGCGCCTCTTTTAAGAATTTTTTTTTTTGCTGTTTCGCGCTGTTTAATTACGTTGAATTTCATGCGTGTTGGGAGAATTCAGTGTCTGGGTTTGGCACCTTCTCGATATATTCACCCATAAGTTCAGCATACTTCATAACCTACAGTGGCAGTGTTACAGATTTTACTATTACATTTGTTACATTGATTAGAATAGCCTTAAGAGACGGCTTTCGTTGCATACCCGTGTCTTAATAAGTTGGCTATAACTGGTTATCACCACATTCTTTCAGGGCACAGCAGAGGACCTCCTGTTCTTGTTCTTCTTTTTTTCCCTTTTTTATCTGATTCCCTAACCCTTTAATTTTTGATTCAAAATGTCTTCAACAAAATCAGCATGTATGTAGCCCAAACCAGTCTCGAAATCAGTTCGGTCTTATCAAATAACAGACACTTGGAGAAACACACACATGCGTGGGTCCCAATTTGTGGGCCGTGTTATTGAACCCGTCAGGTGGAGAAACCGGTCGTCTAATTCAACAACGCATCTGTCGCGGCACGTCTGCGGACAGACAAGTCGCCCTCAGCTCGGACGCGCGCCGAGAGCCCAGTCTCAGAACAGAATGCACGTGAATGAGTTTTTAAAAAAACACAGAGTTCATATTCGCTGTCTGTTTTGCCATCCCAGCACCAGACAAGTGGGTACATACCGATGGCCGTAGGGGAGGACCGTCTCGCTGTTTGTGCACGACAAT